ATGAGACAATTTCGAATATCCCACAATAGGAGATACTAGAAAAGTTACAACTTGTCCAATGAACTAATCTTATTAAGAAATTTGTTCGCGTAAAGTTTGAGATTAAAAGTTAATTTTTTCATGTGACTACAGCTTTTTGTTGAAAAACCCATCTTATAAATGAAGATCCAGAAAACCAAACCATTTGAGACTTTCTTACTACTCGTCAAATGAACATTGTTTCAGTTGAAAAGTAATTTAGCACCTGAAGAGCTTCCTTCGTAAGATGTCTGTCATATTTGTAGGAAGGGATCCAAATTTCAACACTCCTTTTAGATCATGTCTCATAAAAAAAAATGACTACATAATTATGACTTGTCTGATATATTATTAATTAAAAGTAGGCACGAGAGATTTTCATTTTGAAATAAAATACCTTTGCTTATACATGATATAATCTATCCTCTTCTACTCTTTAAATAAAATTTCAAGAACATACTGTAAATGAGCAAATAGAAGAAATTTTTCATTTATTTTAGTACAAGGTATATTAAATAATGGTTGTTCATGAATAAATTCATTTTTTGTTAATGGACAATAATGTCGAAATCTCCGATCATCATTATAAATATTTCTAAAAAATAAAAGATTTTCTCTAATTATATAATGAAATTTGTTTTTTTTTGAAATTAAACTTACGGATTTGTATTTGATACAATATCATCTTTTTGAAATAAAATTATTTCTCGAATATCATTTTCGATTGATGATTTTTGTTTACTTTCAATTGATGATGACATGATTGCTTTAACAATTTTTTTAGCTGATTTTATATTTAAATTGTGTGATACACGTAAATGTGATAATAGTAAACATTGTTTTCTATGACGACAATCAAAATTTTTTATATTATGATTTAAATATGTTAAATTATAAACATTATTAAAACCATATGAAAATGGACATTGACCTTTATGCCAATGAACAGAATGTGAAAATAATTCTTGTGTACTATTAAATGTTAATATAGATTTTTTTTTGCGATTTACATTTATTGTATTCATACGATCGAGTACAATTTTATTTGCTAAATAAATAATAAAATAATGATTACGCAAGATAAAAGACAAGATTTCATACCAGCAGTATTAGATAGATTATGTTTATACATAAGATGTTTCTTAAGTGAGATATGTTCTGTTTTGTCAGAACAAGGAAAATTTGGCATATTAAAACTTGAGAAAAAAGAAAAAAGAAGAAAATTCTTTTTCATTTTAAAAAAATTTGATTTTTACTTTTTTTTAATGCCATATATTCCATAATGTGTTAATGGACAAATACCTACGAAACTGTGAATTACTTTTTCACTCATTAGAATATATTGAATGAAATAAAAAAAAATAATAATAAAGCGAATGATGAGGTTGAAACATAAGTAGACCAATTGAAGTAAGAAGGATTCTTACAAATTTTTGATTGGTAGAAAAAATGAAGCAATGAAATGACATTGATCTAAACAGCTGTTAGAATGAATAATTAAAATGATATTGCACATTATTTATGACATATGGTGCAACACTCAGTGTACTTAACCTTATAAAAAGATGATGAATTTCATTTTAACACAAGCAGTTTTTTTTTCTTTTGATAATTTTTTAGAACAATAGTTTCCTCTTATATTTCTGCTTAGCACTAGGAGTTTTTAGATGTATAATGTGGGAAAAATATTGCCATAAGAGAAGGTTTCTTAAATTAGGAAATCATCGACTCGATTAGCATTATATGAGATTTTATCTTATAACGTTAACTGGTTTATTCTCGAAGGTGATAAGTATTTCACATTCACTAACTTTTCATTAGATCGACTACATTATGAACTCGTACGTATTGCGCATAGCAAAACTTATCTTAAAATTGTTTTTCAAGGTCAACAAACATTATTCTGTTGTCTATAGATCATATGGACTTCTACTATTGAGTTATGGTCGACCAAAATAAGTACAGTGGCTCTCAAAATTATTTGATTAGGTTTGTTTTCAATTACTGCTGTAAACTCTAATAAGAATCCAAATAGTGATTTGTTTCGAGAATTTTATTTCAAATAAAGATTTTTGAAGATAACAATGGTTACTGGTTTTTCAAGGATAGGATAGGACCTCTGAAAAATCAAAACTCAACTTTTCCATTTCTCTACGATATTTTTTGATCTAGTCACATCAATCTTAAGGAAGACACAAAAGTCAGTTTTTTGCTGTTGTGGATGAAAACATAATTTTTGTGCTGTCCATAAACTTGATGTGTTTCGTTCAAAAAAACATCCATAAAGAGCTGGAAAACATTTCGTTTTTTTAGAGAACTGTTCGCTTTATCATTCTAGGTAATTCAAATAGAACTCCAAGAGATGAAAAGCTTGGGTTTAGATTTTTCAGAGATTTTATCCTTGGAAAACTAGTGATCATTTTCATCTTCAAAAATTCTTGTTAGAAATAAAGTTCTTTACATAAGACACTATTTCAATTCTTATTAGAGTTTACGGTAGTAATTGAAAATAAATCTGGCTGAATATTTTTCGAAGCAACTCATCATCATGTCCCTTAGGCTTAGCGCCCGTTGGGGCCAACCATTTACGGGATCAGATTTTTCCATGCCCGCTGATCTTGCGCAAGGTGGAACAGGTCATGTCCACTGCGCTGACACCATTCTGTTATGTCATCTAGCCATTCTCTGCATGGACGCCCTCTTCGAGCTTTTCCGTCCATTTTACCAAATATTA